TGAAAGACACGGGGAAGGGCTGAATAGACATAGATAGCAGAGACCATAGCTGTACTGATCAGCACATAAGACCCATACGGACAGACAGGAAAAATGGAGAAGGAAGGGCAAAGTCTCTTTCTTTTTTTTTTTAACGTTTATTTATTTTTTTGGGACAGAGAGAGACAGAGCATGAACGGGGGAGGGGCAGAGAGAGAGGGAGACACAGAATCAGAAACAGGCTCCAGGCTCTGAGCCATCAGCCCAGAGCCCGACGCGGGGCTCGAACTCACGGACCGCGAGATCGTGACCTGGCTGAAGTCGGACGCTTAACCGACTGCGCCACCCAGGCGCCCCGCAAAGTCTCTTTCTTAACCTACAGCCTCAGTCTCTCTCTCACTGACTTTTAAGTAGCTTTACATTAAGGGGTAAACCAGAGAAGCTGGGTCTGAGCTGTGTTGCTATTTATCAGTGATGATTCTCACTACAACAGGGCAACAAGAGGACAAACTTTCTCTTTATTTTTTATTTTTCTTAAGTTTTATTTAAGTTATCTCTACATGGGGCTCAAACTCATGACCCTGAAATCAAGAGTCACATGCTCCTCTGACTGAACCAGCCAGACAGAACTTAACTTCAGAAAATCAATTCTTATTCACTCTTAATAACAAATGCTAGGAGCCTGGGTGGCTCTGGGGGTTTGAGCGTCTGACTCTTGATTTCGGCTCAGATCATGGTCCCATGGTTTGTGAGCTGGCAGCTCTGGGATTCTCCGTCTCCCTATCCTTCTACACCTCCCCTGTACTCTCTCTCTCTCAAAAATAAATAAATAAAAATTAAAAAAAAAAATACCCTATATCATTGTTTTTAAACTTCCAAGGATAAGCCATAGTCAAGCCATTGTGTTTTTTTTTTAAGGTTAAAACACTCCTTTTATTTACAATGGCTGATATAATTGTAAACTAATGTGAACAGCTAGATTATACAAGAAATGCCTTGAAAATTCTCTTTTTGATGTCCTCTAAGAGTTGGATTCCATTATATGTGCCTTGTTCTTTCTTCAGACTTCTAACTTCAGACTAGAGTTTAGCAGAAATAAGGCTTACAGTTACCCTCAAATAATTCTTGGGCTCCATTCTTGGGCCATTATTGAAAGAGAAAATGAAGAACTAAGACCCACATGTTAGAAAGGTTCTACGTTTTTGTTGCTGTGGTTGAGGGGAATAAGGAAGGGACTGGCAACAGTCATTCTAGACTCTCTTCAAAATAATGTGAAGTTAAAAAATGTTGCCATTGTTAAGTCTATTAAGAGCTACACTCTAGTTGAGAGAGAATATACGTCATTACATTTAGTTTAGTTTATTGCACATTTACATTTAGTGATGTGCAATTTTCAACTATCTTGGGCTAATGCTGAGATAATTTTTTAAGGTGCTATATAGTGTTACATGCTTTGAAGAATTTTTGGTGGGGTGGGAGACGAATCTATTAGTTTCTCATAAGAGACTAGGGAAACAGTTGAAATAGAGAAGTTAAAAGTTTTTATTGCAGGGGTGCCCGGGTGGCTCAGCTAGTTAAGCTTCTGACTTTGGCTCAGGTCATGATCTTGTGGTTTGTGAGTTCAAGCCCCAAGTTAGGCTCTGTGCTGACAGCTCAGAGCCTGGAGCTTGCTTTGGATTCTGTGTCTCCCTCTCTCTGCCCACCCCCATTTGTGCTCTGTCTCTCAAAAGTGAATAACTGTTAAAAAAATTTTTTTTAAAGTTTTCATTGCAATATATTAACCAATACTATCATGAACAAATGTCACATGCTCTCAATAAATCCGAAAAAAAAAAGAACACATAAGTATTAACTATTATATAACTAATTGTCGGATTCTCTTAACCTTGATATACTCATCAAAATTTTAGTTTTATTTTTATTGTTCTAGCTCTACAAACAATGGCTTAGGCCACAGTTGCCTCAGCTTATACAAAGCACATTACACTAGAGTTCCCTTAATTAACATCAAAGCTATTTTAGTAATGGACTACATAAAAATTGAAAGTGCAGTTGTCACTCTTTTTAAATATATATATTTCATTAATATTTCTGTACAGCTGTCAATCTTAACTTGCATTTAAAGCAAACTATAATACCAGCCCATGACCTCATCCCTCAAGTTATTTTCAAGCAGCAGACAGAAGAGTCCATTCTGACATTAAGATAAATTTAAGGTACATATATGGGGGATGGGGGGTGAAGAATAACTTGAATTCCAGTTCAGTGGTTTTTTACAGTTGGCTTAGGAAATAGCTTAAATGCCATTCTCTGAAAGCCATTAAATTCAAAGTACCCTGTGCACCTGGCCAAGGAGTCATCTCAACCTGTAGTGAATGCGTGAAGTCCTCCATCTGCCATTAGGTCTGATGAAGTTCAAAGTATTATAGTTTCGTGATATAAAAGGATATAAAGTAGGAGGAGAACAAACACAAAATGATTTTTCAGTCAACTATTGGATTTAAATATGTTTAAACTACCCTTGTAAACACATTCTCTAAGTAAGAAAGCCTTAAAAAAAAACCCTAAAAAACAAAAACAGAAAAAACAACAAAAAAGATCTCATCTGCTTTTCCTTGCTGTAGACCTTCAACATGGTGGGTAGAAAAAGCTTTGTGGATAGTAATTATCTTGATATTTATTTTCTTGGCATACACAAACATGTTTCAGATAATATCTCATTAAAAAACAAATTTCCAAAAAAGTAATGGCAATTTTTGAATTTCTGTTATTGATGTTAATAAAGAAAAAAAAAACTGTCAGAAAATGCAAAATGAGAAAAACAAAGAGAAAACAAAGGAGAAAAAATAAAGAAAAAAAAAAACCCCTACGTAAGTCCAAACCCACCCAAAGCTTGAAAAGTGGTTTCACAGGAACGGTATTTTACCAGGCTTACATACCTTAGGAGGTATGTAACAAGACAAACTTCTTTGTAAAATTCTGTTAAGGGCCCTGACCAATATGCAAACAACTATTTTTCTGCAGTTTTTAATACATTATGTGACTCTGCTTCTGAAAATCATTTTTCTGAAAATAAATCTATATTTTAAACTCTCCCCATATTGACTTATTATAAATAAAGGTCTGCATTATTCTCTGTACCCACAAAAAGCCAGAAAATCTTCCAGAGGAAGCATCACAATTGGTAGAGGCTGGAGAGAGAGTGGGTGGTATGATTATTTGTCACAGTGTTTAAATTTTCATTTTGTTGGTTATTCCTGGGCACACAACCCATCCCAAAACTTTATCGGTCATTATTATTCCTGTTTCCAAGGAATTCCTTTTAAATTGTGTAACTCTCAAACAAAATGGTTCAACAGATATAAAAAACACATCATTAAAACTTTCAATCTCTTCTCCATCATAGAGATGGTCATCAAACTAACAATTGTTATTAGAAGACCTGAAATTTTCCTGTTCACGATTCTGGTTGGATTTTTCCAGCCAGGAGTATGTTTT